CATTCCTGAAAACAATCACTGCGCAGTTCCAAACTCTCCTCGGTGTCTCACTGATAGAAGTTCTATCCAGACACTCAACTGAAGAGGTTTACCTTGGGCAGAGTGAAAATCCTGAATGGACCTTAGATGCTGAAGCATTGGCAGCATTTGAGAGGTTCAGAAAGAAGCTGTTGAAAATTGAGAACAATATTTTGGAAAGGAACAAGGACGAGAGATTGAAAAACAGGAATGGGCCAGTGAAGATGCCTTACACACTTCTCTATCCCAACACATCAGATTATTCTAGGGAGGGTGGACTCACTGGCAAGGGAATCCCCAATAGTATATCTATCTAAAACTCCATTACTAGATTCTATCTTCTCATTCAATTCTAGCCAACTAAGGAATATGGGGATGTCGAATAAACATTTTCGTTCGTACGTATATCGTGATTATTTTTCTAGCAATTTATTCTATTGTTATGGCAATACTAGAGTGTGTATAATATATAACATTATTTGTATTCAAATAATCATGCTGCCACTGCTTTAATTGGTTCAGGCTTCTTGTGTAATCTTCTCATCTGATATTCAAAAACCATACCATCTTTTGGGAGCGTCATAAAACACTTGAAAGCTAAAGTTTCAAAAGTTTGGTTAAGCTGATGTAGTCTATTTTAATGAATTATTTTATCAAAATAAATTATAAACCCTTATTGAACCCTGACCAGTGTTGCTTCTCTCTTTTTTGTGTTTTGTTTCGTTCGTGCTGAAACCACATTCTGAGTCACAGGGACATAAGAACAAACAGAATGAAAAGAAAGATTTGTGCAATAAGCAAGATTCTTTAAATTAGCTGATTTAGCATTAGTATCAGCAAATAAGGAAAATTTCACTGAGATGGATAGTCATAGGGCTTCAATAAGCATAGGTCCACGTGATGGTCATGAGGCAGGCCCTCACTTTCAAAAATGAGGAGTTGCTCTTCATTGATTAATGATATCCAGTATGATTATTGAAATTTTAACATTCTTGAAATTCAGAAAATAAATTTTTTATTTTTAATATTATCTGTATCTCTTAATAAATATTGCGTAAGAAGAAAAAAATAAGTATTGTGTAGAAAGAAAAAAATAAGCAATAAAATAATTGTTTTTGTTAGTTTTTAATATAATATTAATTATTTTTTCATTAATATCCTTAATAATATATTTTAGAAAGTTGTTGTATTAAATATTTTTAGTAAACAAGATTAATGATAAGATTAATTTTGTGAAATTATTAGTCTCTTTATTTTATTTATTACTCTTTTTGTTCTAAAAAAATTACAATTTAAGATAATCATTTTTAATTATAATGGTTGAAGAATTTGAGAGGATAAATTAGGAAAAAAAATTACATTGACAACAGATAACATCAATTATTTTATGACTTTCTTTTTTCTTTAAATACTAAAATTACAGTCATTTTGAGAGAATAAAAATTATAAGCACATGTAAGAAAAACCTTGAATGACACTTATTATAAAACTAATTGATCAACTATAACAAATTCAAACCCAGTTTACTCGAACACCTATCATATTTGCATGTTATCATGCAAAGTACAAGGTTGGTAAAAAAAAATCATGTTCTAAACTATATCTTTTGGGAAACCTTTTTTTTTTTCATCAATCATATTATAAGTATAAAATATTTATCAATTTTAATAATAATTAATTTTATCAGAAAATCTAATTCACTATAAACATTAAATATTGAAGGAATCTATTCTAATTAAATTCGGATCAACAGCATTTTAGTATTTTTTTAAGGTATAATGCCTAATTATTTTTTAGGTTAATAAATTTTAGTCCATACATTTTATATCAGTTTTTGTTTAATTTCCTGTGCCTAAAATATATCTTTTTCTCTTTTGGGTTGTATATATAAAAAGAGATATATTTTGATGCCTGACTTTTTTTAAAAAAAAATCTCTGACATCCATGATCAAGAGAGAAAAAGATAGAAACGAGATGTAAATGTGACAAGTTATATGATGCAATATAAATATAATTGAGAAACAATTTATTTTTGAAGAGGAAATAATTGAAAATCCATTGGAATTGTTGTAGGTATAGCGAATAGATGAATAAGAGGTGTGGGTAGGAGAATGAATCAAAATGTTAGATTATAATTGGTCCAAGGCATATCACCTTATCCATATCCACATCCACAAACACACATCTCCCACATCCTACTTTACTCTCTTTCCTTTTGTTTCTTATTGATCTGTGACACTTCTGAACCTTGTAGCATAGCATATTCCATGGCCATGGCAACCCAAGCCTCCCTCTTGAGCCCACCCCTCTCAGGCCTGAAGCCCAGCGACCGCGCCTCCGTGCCATGGAAACAGCCCCCCAGCTTCTCCTGCAGGCCCCTCAAGTTGAAGAAAACAATGAGAGCAGCAGCTTCCGATGAGGTGACAGAGGCCCCAACAAAAGAGGCTCCAGTGGGGTTCACCCCCCCAGAGCTGGACCCAAACACCCCGTCCCCGATCTTCGGCGGCAGCACTGGTGGGCTTTTGCGGAAGGCCCAGGTGGAGGAGTTCTATGTGATCACATGGGAGTCTCCGAAGGAACAGATCTTCGAAATGCCCACTGGGGGAGCTGCCATCATGAGGGAGGGCCCTAACCTCCTCAAGTTGGCGAGGAAGGAGCAGTGCTTGGCTCTTGGAACCAGGCTCAGGTCCAAGTACAAGATCAAGTACCAGTTCTACAGGGTCTTCCCCAACGGAGAAGTCCAATACTTGCACCCCAAGGATGGTGTCTACCCTGAGAAGGTCAACCCTGGTCGCCAAGGGGTTGGTCAAAACTTCAGGTCCATTGGTAAGAATGTTAACCCTATTGAGGTCAAGTTCACTGGCAAGCAACCCTATGATTTGTGAGCAACTCTAATCACAACTCTATCATTACATCCCGTTTCTCATCTACCTATTCTCCATTTTATGTCACAAATGCTCAACTCTGTAACCCTTCTGTTTACACTCTTCTTTCTCCTATTATATCATTATTCTGTCTACACCATCTTTATTTCCTCATATATTCATCAAACCTTGCTTGCCTAAGACTCACAAATCGCTGATCAACTGAGAATTTTTTCATCAATAATTCACTAATTCTGAATGAATTGCATCCTACTAATACCATTGCAGGTTCCACAACGATTTTACATCTGTAGCCTAACATTTTTATGCATACCTAATTCACAGCTTTTCCCGAGTTTTCTTACTAAACAAACAAATCCAATTTCATATTTTCTCCACTCAAACTCTCCGCTCTCCATTATATCCTGTGTTCAAGAGAAAACACCCACCACAAATACCCATCTTTTCAATAAAAGCCTAATAGGTAGTTCTAAAATTTTCAGTTGCCCCAATCTTGTAGTGGATTCATAATTTAAAAAATTAAATATGATTTTAATTTCTTAAATTTAAAATAAATTTATTTTCCATTCTAATAAATAGATTTTATGTGAACATAAATTTTCTAACAAAGTTTGATAATAAAGATTAAAATAAGGGTTTTTTTTTTAAATTATTGGCGATAAAAAAGACTAATTTTAAATTTAAAAAACTAAAAAAATATACTTGCCTAATTTAAATGCAGCTGCCTAGTTTAAATGCAGCAACAGCTACAATTGAAAAGCCCAGACCCTATTTACTGACATAAAATCCGAGAAGGAAGGGTTTGATATAACAACGTACCGGGTGATCATATTTCAGCTAGGTATTTGGGATTGCAAGGAAGTGTTAAACGGTATTAAACTGTATTAATAGAAGTGTGTTTATACGAGAGTGGAGGTGTGTTTATCATCCGCCCTAAACTTATCTAATTAAATTCCTTATCCTCTTTTTGCTAAAATTGTTTCACAACAGACATGAATAAGAAAGGTATTGGTAATAGTAATTATTATTATTATATCAGTATTAATAATATTTATCTTTCCTAAAAAAAAAAAAAGACAAAACAAGATTAGTTAAACGGGGCATTTCCTTAATCTTAGGTGATAATTTTTATTGTTTTAACAAATTAATTTAGTTAATTTTATTTAATAATTAATAATAATAGTGATAAGATTATGAGGCATTTCCTTAGAGTATAGCATTTATTTATTGCTTAACAAAATTAGCTTAATTGATTTTACTTGATTAAGTTGTTTCCTAATATAAATGTGTTAGATGTTCATGTAATTTTAATTCTTTTGTTTAAAAAAAAAAGGATTTATTGGAATGTGACATTCCCTTAATTCTTGGGCTTAAGGTGCAAATTGTGACAATTTGTTATCTTAAAGTCCCTCTTATTGAAGTTTAAAATATAATTAATATAAAATATATTATCATAATTTTTAATATAAATATTTGAGGTAAATATTTTAAAAGTTATAATAAATTTGCTTAATTAATTAAAGGTAATCGTCTTAAGACGAACGTTGTAAGGTGTTAATACCTTACTTACACGTAATCGACTTCCGAACCCAAAAATCTAATTTTCGTAGACCATTTTCTATTTTATGTTTTTTTCCAATGTTTTTTCTGTAAAAAATAACATTGGTGACAACTCCCTATTTTTCAATTTATATTTTTTATCGTCCGTCGCGATCTCAGTTGCCACAGTAGGTTAAGTACAAAATACTTTTATTTAATATTTTTAACGATAACAATTATGAAATATGAATGACATTTTTTAAATAGGGATATATGTGAAAAAAGTTAATTAATATTAAAATATGTAAAACATTATAAAAGAAAAACAGAGAGAGAGAGAAAATCTAAAACATAGAAAGTTGTGAGTGAAGAGAGTAATTACAATGGTTAAAAAATATTTCCACTCTTTTATATGATAAAAACAAATATTTAACTCACCAACATGAATAAAAGTAATCAAATCAGTTAATTTTAATTAATAATATTATAAATTTAAATTTTATTCAATAAGTATAATTTGTATAATTAAATGGTTTTAGTGATGTTTAAATTTAATTACAGTACTTGTAATTGAAGAAATAATTTTTCAACCAATTGGTGTGACATTGTTACTTATATTGTTAATAATCTAATAAATACATTCACACAGAAATTGAACTCAAATTCCAGTTTAGAACGTCTTAACTAAGTTACACCTATGGTTGCTTCCAAGGGAATGTGCCATATATGGAAGTGATCAAGCAATATTATTAACACATAAAGTATAGAAAATAATGAAAGTTGACCTACATAGCTTCATTTTTAAGAACTTTGAATTCTTTTAAGTGTTAGAAAATAAATTTAATAGAGCACAAGAAAATTAAATATTTAGATTTATCAATAAAATCAATATCAACAACACATGAATATTATAAAATTAAAACAGAGCAATCAGTAACAACTAGTTAAACACAAAGAGTAGATGAAATCATTAGATAATGAGTTTAGAGTAGCCTGGGTTGAAGCACGCAGAGCGCTATCCTTAGAGATCCTTAGAGAGAAAACACCCCCACTGCACTGGTAATTTTGAGCCTTATAGTGCGCTCCTCTTCCAAGATACGTCAACTCGTTAGATCGTTCGAGTGCAGCGAAAGATTCTCGAACCAAAGAACACCGCTCCAAAATTATGATTTTTAGTATAAATAATATTGAGGGAGAGAAAATATGAACTTGCTGTGTATCTTTTTTCTGCTACGTTTCACGTACCAGGGTCACTCTATATAAGCACAATATATTTTTAGATAAAAGATGTGCCCACGTTTTGCAAATTTTTCCGGTAACCAAAAAGTGTACGTTGTGAGTGGATGTGCACTAGCTTTTCGGTAACAGTGAGTGTACGTGGTACACTTTGGCTAACCAATTTGAAACCAAAAGCATACGTGGTCTTGAAGAGAAAAAGAAACTGTACCATAACCGTTTTGAAACGTTAAAAAAATAATTATATTAAATGACAGGAACAGCGAGGGCAACTTTCCACGGAATCTAAATGACGAGTAGAACGAAAATGATTTGTCGGTATGGATGAGTGTAAGCCTTGCCATAAAAGGAACTTAACTTTTTCTGGAATATGCAATTTCCAAACACGCTTCCATATAGGGTCCACAATTCCATGATCGGGTGAAATAAGAAACCTAAAGCCGGAAGCTGCTGTATAGCATCCGGAAGAGTCACCTGCCCAAGAAAATATGTCAGCGCCTGCCGAGGAGGAAGGGATGTGAACTTGTTGAATACGATTAGCCAACTCCATAGGGAGACGAGTAAAGAGTGAATCAAAATTCCAAGCACCCTGTTGCCAACATTATGGAACTGTTCTATCTGTATCACTGATATGTACATATGGCACCTCCCTGCAAAGAAGCCTTGAGCCTAACCAATCTTCATACCATAGAGAAGAATTACCTGCACCAAGATTTGGATAGAAGCCCTGTCGCAAAAAGGGAAGGGCTTTGACAATGTTGTTCCATACTTGAGATGCACCCTTGCTCTTCTTTGCATGCAATACGGATTCGCCATGCAAGTATTTTGCTTGCAGAATCTTGACCCAAGGTTTTTGCGGTGAATGAAGAAGGTCCCATATCAACTTACCAATAAGAGAGATGTTGACCTGTCGAGACTCCCTGATACCCAAACCTCCAAACTCTTTTGGTCGAGTAACAGTATTCCAACCTACTAAGGACCAATATCTCGATGAACTCGCCTTGGCCCATAACATGGTTCTGCTGGCTTGATTGATCTTATTGCAAACTTCTTGGGGTAACCAAAGAGATTGCATGTTGTATAGAGGAATAGATGTGACAACTGAGCTGATGAGGCATAACCTACCAGCTTTGTTAAGGAGTCGTCCCTTCCAAGATGCTAGGCGGTTATTAATTCGGTCAATTACATGGTGGAAATCCGAAATCTTAGCTTTCCCCTGAATCATTGGTATCCCTAGATATCTTTTAAACTTGGGTGTGTGTTCGATACCCAGTGTCTGTTCTAAGTGCTCTAGTCTCGAGCTAGGCACCCCTTTCGAGACCACAAATTTTGATTTCTCTATATTTATTTTGAGACCTGATACAGTGCAAAAATTCTCTAGAACAGAAGCCATTACTTGGACTTGATCATTTGTTGCTTGGCTGAAAAGTATAACGTCATCTGCGAAGAGGAGGTGGGAGATGGGTGGTCCTCCTGGAGAGAGATGGATTGGGTTCCAACAACCCTCTCTGTTCAGTTCATTGATTCTAAGGGCCAGTCTTTCCATGCATAATACAAATAAATATGGAGAGAGAGGATCTCCTTGTCTTAAGCCTCGAGTTGGTGCAAAGGAGGGTAACTTACTTCCGTTCCAAAGCACAGATAATGATGAGTTTGTAACACCCCACATGATGAGCTTGATAATCCTCTCTGGAAATCCAAATTTCCAAAGCGTGGCCTGAAGGAAATTCCAGTTGATTTGATCATATGCTTTTTCCAGGTCAATCTTCAATGCCAACGAACCCAGTTTAGACTTGTCCTTTTGGATGAAGTTGATTGCTTCCTGAGCCAGAATGCTGTTATCTGTCATCCCCCGACCAGGTATGAAGCTCCCTTGAAAAGGACCTATGATGTCGTTTAAAAAGGGGCGAATTCTAGCGACAATTACCTTTGAGATGACCTTGAATGCGACATTACACAAGCTTATGGGTCGGAACTCCTTGAGGTGCACGGGGTAGTCAACTTTTGGGATTAAAACCACAAGGGTTTCTAAGAGAGAAGAATCCGATGAACCATTTACGAAGGCCTCATTTACAGTTCGCCATAACTCATCCCCTACAATGGGCCAATACTGCTTAAAAAAGAAAGGTTGGAAGCCATATGGTCCCGGTGCCTTAAACGATTTCATACACATTACCGCTCTACGGACCTCCTCTTTTGTAATGGGTGCCAGAAGCGATGCCACTGCTTCTGCACCAAGCTGCGGTGGTGCGCCGTATTTCATATCTACGAAGTGGCCTTGTGGGTCTTCTGAGAATAAGTTGCTGTAAAATTGAATAGCTTCACGTTTAAGTACTTCCGGATCTGTGTGCCATGTTCCATCAGGGAGGAATAAACCTCTAATTTTATTACGTCTTCGGCGGGATATGGTCTGTGCATGTAAAAAGGTTGTATTCCTATCTCCAAACTGTACCCATTTCTTTCTCGATTTTTGAAACCAGAGAAATTCCTCCAGTAAACAGACTTCATTGAGTTCTTCCTGGAGTTTAGTCTCAAGTCTGGTGAGACTTTCAGATTGTCGTTTCTCTAGTTCAAGCTGGACACCCTTAAGTTTGGCCTGAATCTCTCGTTTTCTCGAGAAAATATTACCAAAAACATTCCTGTTAAACTCAATGGCCTCCTTCCTAACTATATTCAAACCATTCACAAGAGTTGGCGTGCTCCTTATCCAAGCATCCTTTACAATCTTCTCGAATCCTTTATGAGTTGCCCAGGCAGCTTGGAACCTGAAGGGTCGGTCCTTTTTTGGTTCACTCAGGCCACCACACCTAACAAGCAAAGGACAGTGATCAGAATAAACTCGACAAAGGTTCTCCACAAAGGCATTTGGAAACAGGGTTTGCCACTGTGTGTCACATAGTGCTCTGTCAAGGCGCTTAGCTAAAGCGAAACCAAGTTGATTACGATACCAAGTGAACCTAAGGCCCGTGGCTCCCAAATCCAATAGGTTGCATTCGTCAATTAATTGCACGAACTGTGATGCTCTAGACAAAGAAAATAGACCGCCTCTACACTCAGAAGGTGATACTATCTCATTGAAATCACCTATCAAAATCCAAGGAGTAGAAATCTGACTTCTCAGACTTTTTATATGAGACCAAGCTTGTACCCTAAGGTTATAACTTGGACTAGCATAGACCGTCGTACAAGACCATTCCTTGTGGCCCTGATGGACCCGAAAGGTTATGGCTTGAGGAGATACAGCTACTTCACTGGTCACTAGTTGACTATGTTGGGCAATCAGTATCCATATGCCTCCTGAGTGACCACGTGCTTCCACTTTATGGCATAATTTATAGTCAAGTTTCGTCCAAAATGACTCAGTGCTGGAGAACGAACAGTGTGTTTCCATGACAACAAAAATAGCAGGGCGGTGCAGTTGCACCAGTTCTGTGATCCGTCTTCTACCCTTCGCATTGACAGCGCCTCTAATGTTCCAGCTGATAATATTCAGTTCTTCAATCATTGCAGACATGAAAAGCGAGATCCAAAGCAAAAAGGTTAAGAGATCATTTCCTCATTGCAAGCACTCGAGATTACCTGCATATCTTCCTTTTTTTCAACTAGCATTACACCCTCATGCTCGTTCATAGATGGTCCTCCCAGTCCATGGGTGTAAGGCACTTGGTTGTTGTTAACTGCGTCTTGTATGTCATTCTCGGGTTCATCCTGATATCGAAATCTACTTCCTTCAACATGAACAATAAGAAGTGCAGACTGAAAATTGATGGTCTTCTTCAGATCACGTGTGGGTGCTTTCATAGTGACCCAAGAGGTATCTTGTTGAGGTTTAATCTCCTCAACCCGGCCTCGCTTTTTTCTTTCTGTTGCACCATATTCTCTTGTGCCTGATTGGTTGCATGGAACTGCATGGCATGTCCCATCCGTGTTACTGGTGAATCTGAAGCTACACAAGTCTCATTATTATGATGGGCCCCACTGTCCTTGGTAGTGGAATCTGTCTTATTTTGTCTGCCCATATTGTTAACAATCCCTTCAAAATTATTGGCCACGTAGTTTGGAGCCTCCCTATAGTGGGGTGCATGATTTTTCGACGAGAGTCTTTTATGGTTTTGTTTCCTATTTCTTCGTCTAACCACCAACCAGTCACCATGAGGTTCAGGTGCATTGCCTTTTGGAAATTGAGATGCAGTTAGACCATCTTTCAACACAGAGTTCGCTTCATGACCCGCCTCATCTATGATCGAAGTCTTATTACCTTCCGTCGTTGCATCAAGGGCACTAGGGGAATGTTGTTCCTGGGTAGGTATAGTTCTAGAGAAATTCCTCATGATGTGTCCATAGCACCCACATGAAGCACATAGCAGATGAAGACCTTCATATTCGACATTGTACCAAATTCCGTTCAGGTTGAATTTCCCAACAACAGGTTGATCCAACCTAATTTCAACACAGACCCGTGCGAAGCGTCCCCTCGTCATGTTCAAGGTATTAAGGTCCACTTTAATCGGTTTACCAATTGCAGAGGCAATGGTAAGTAAGACACTCTCATCATAGAACACCATCCCTAATCGCGGAAAGCGAACCCAAACTAAAGTGCTATCAACCTTAGCATCCGCCGCCACGAACTCAGGAGACCATGGTCGTACGATCAAATAGTGGTCGAAAAGCATCCATGGCCCGCCCTGCATGACTTTTTCCGTGTCTGCCGCTAGATCAAACTTTACCATAAAGTATCCTTGTGATATGTCTATCAGTTCAAAACCACCTTGTAGTTTCCATAATGTGTGAAGCCTATCCCTCATTGTGAGATACCCTATATTTTTCCCCAATATCTTTATCACAAGGCACTCCTTCCATGGTAAGCATAGCTGCTCAAAAGTGGGTTGCACAATATTAAACTTTGGCAACAAACGATCTCCACCCTCAAACTCCAGAGTCATGGCTCCCTCACTTATGAGATTACGTATGTTATTGGGTTTCGACGGACCACCCAAAACCTTCTCCTTGAAGGTACTTCCCATACCACCTAATTCCCCATCATCGCCAGGGGCCTTCGGTGGCCGTGAGCCACTTTGCGAAACCCGATGCATGTGATCACAAAAACCCTAACGAATGCCCTTTTTTCTCTGTTATGTATTTAGAACACATAACTTACATAAGTATTAAGCATGTTAAAGGATTAATTTAATAATATATTTTGTAGAGAGGAAGAAAATAGTAAGTAGAAAAAAAAGGAGAAAAAAAAATAAAAGTTGTTTTGAAGAAAAATAAACTGAAAGTTATAACTTTTTGACGTTATTTGATTTTTAAAAAATGTTATTATAAATTTTTTTACGGTTAATTACTAAATGTTTTTCGTTTATTATTTTTATTATTAAAAACATTATAGATGGACGGACAACCATAATTGATTAAGGAGATTGGGAGAGAGTATAATCAATTACAAGATTAATTGAAGAGATAAGATTGATTATTATTTTTGTTTTCCACGGGCAACATTGAAAAGATTGTAATTTCTATGCATTTCTTCGCAATTTTGAGCAAAAGTTTGAACACGTTGGTGCACAAATATTTCCTCACTTTCACTATGCTAAACAAGTAAAGTTCATATATTTCTTTATACTTCCGTATCTTTCATCTCTTTTATGTTCTATTTCATTGATAACAAACGCAACATAAGTCCTATTTGCAAAATAATCTTTTAAATAACTTTAAAAAAAAAAAATCACATTTCCCCCTATTTCTTTCTTAGCATGTTTTTGAGAAATAAACGATACTCCATCATTATATATATGACATATCTCCTTTTTATTTATTTTTTATATAAAAATACAGGAATGAAAGACATTTACCCAAATAAATAATTTTAATCACAGGAAAAGAGTAGTGCATGATCATGTTGCTTATCTTTCTAATCAAGCGAATCAACAGACAAGACTTGTATGAACGGGTATCTAGAGAAGGGATGGCAACGGGGTGGGTCGGGTACAGGTTTCATGATACCCATCCCTGTTGCGAGTCAAACTCATTCCTGTCTCCATACCCGTACCTGTCGAATATGAGATTTTCATCCCCATTCCTGTCCCCGTCGGGTATCGGGAATATCCGTACCTGTACTTGTACCTGTTAATTTTTTTATTTTTTTATTTTTATAAAAAAATATAATATTTTTAAATTATTTTTATTATATTATAATTATAATTAGATTATTTCTCTATCTCATATTATAATAAATAATCACACATAAAAAAAACGAGTAGAACGAAAATGATTTGTCGGTATGGATGAGTGTAAGCCTTGCCATAAAAGGAACTTAACTTTTTCTGGAATATGCAATTTCCAAACACGCTTCCATATAGGGTCCACAATTCCATGATCGGGTGAACACTAGCTTTTCGGTAATAGTGAGTGTACGTGGTACACTTTGGCTAACCAATTTGAAACCAAATTATATTGCACCCCAATTTTTAATCATAACCGTTTTGAAACGTTAAAAAAATAATTATATTAAATATTTAATTTAAATTTTAAATTATAAAATAATTTTTCAACATTAAGTTGGGAGAGGACAACTAAAATAATCCTTAGACCTCAGATTTTCCTTCTCTTAATTCGAACGCAAGAAACTTTACGGTCTAGTAGACAAGTCACACAAATATATTCAATCACACAAGAAGCCAATAGAGTAAAAGAAGTACATAGAAGGCAAGTGAGTTTCATCATTGAATAGAGAGTAAAGAAATGGAAGGAAAAGTACATAGAAGAGAAAGTTCCACCATTAGCATTAGGCCCATGCTCATGTCCTCATTTTCTTCTCAACTATTTTCGACATATATTTTAATTAGGAGAACGGACAAACATGAAACTAACAACTTGCATCAACATCACATACACAAAATCCCAAATTCATTTTGCAAGTCACGAAGGAAAACAAGGGAAAAAAGAAGAGAAAGGAAACAAATATTTTCTTTCTCCTACTTGGAGATGATAGAAATTTGGCAAAAATAAAATAAAATCTTGCACTAGAGCGAACTGCGAATGCAAAAACAGGGATTAAATATGGTTGGTTATGAAGTTGAAATGGTGAAAATGGGACTTTCCTTGCGAGTGACCTCATCATCATGCATGAGGTTGATGGTTTTAAAAACAAACCTAGGTTAAAATTACGTTTATAAATCAAATTTAGTAGATATTTAGATACTAATTTAAAATTGTTTAATAATAAAAATATATACTTCGTTAATACTAATTCTCAAGTTTAGTTTATTTACCGGACAATTTATGCTGACAGTTCACAATATTGGACCAGTTCAAAAGTTCAAAACTGTAGATTTAAGTCAAAACTGTTTCGGCATTATTATCCAAAAAAAAAAAAAAAAAAAAAAAAAAAAAGAACACAATTGGATCTAGGGATGTAAGGGCCGGGCCGGGGGCAATGATAGTAGGTCCATTAGTTGTCTTGTCGGATAAATATTTATTTTATATTTATATAGATATATGTTAAGTAAGTATTTATGTATTGTTTAGTATTTACGCATATTTGTAGATATTTTTACATATTTATTTTTAAAAATAAATAATATTTAAAAAATATTTTAATAATAATTTTTATTTACTCTGATAATTTTTTTAAAAATAACAATTTTAAATTTTAAATTTAAATTATTAAAATATTATAAAAAATCTTATCAATCAAAATTTTCAATTTAAAAATTAATTTTATTTGTTAAAATATATCATTCTTATAAATTTAATATATAATTATATAATTAAATATTAGTGGATATTATAATACTTATATCGTTAACATGTGAATATAAAAAAATACTCCATTAATTATCATAAATACCTATTAACAATATTCATTTTCTATTTAGAGATTTTTTTTTGGCATTACTAATCGATCATAGTCTTTCTTTGTAAATATGAATGTAGCATGAGTATCGATGAAATGATATATCATATTGTCTAAAGTGCTAATGTTGTCCTTTCAAATTAAATTTATATATCATTGTTCAATTAAAAATTAACTATTATTCCTCATAATAGTTATAATTCTAACATAAATTAATGATCTCACATTTTAATATAATATTAATTATATTTTTTTTCTAATTTATCATTTTGTAGATTATTCAACCATTAAAATTAAAAGTAATACACACTTATTAAGAGATTGCACTAGTTTATTAAAATTGTATAAAAAAAAGTGATTTTTATCATTATTTTCAATCTATATGTAAAAACTTAAAAATGCACGTGATTATAAGCGAGATCTATATTTGCAATTTAGAAAAACTCCGTTGAAGTGCTGAATAATACAAGAAATGCATTTGCAAAAACATTAATCAAATATCAATAATTGGAAAGTTATTCCAACATTGTCATGTCCAATGCAAAATTCTTTATCGATTAATCGATGGTATGTCTTTTTAATATTGGCATTTAGCGAAATAGCCAAATGACCTTTTGCAAAAGTTAACATTCCTATGGTAATTAATTACTGGCCTTTGTTCTCCACGAAAAAAAAAGTATAAAAAAACATTTGGGAAGCGATAGCTATCATAGTTTAATTCAGATGACGTGAAACGGTTGTCGAATATTCCGGTAGACAGTAGAGTGTAAAGAAAGATAATGAAAATAATAATAAGAGAACTTTAAGTGTTAACCAATTGATATCTCTGAGAGACACAATTGGATATTTTTTATACGATTCATAATTCATAATTGATAGAGGTAAGGTAATAGTAATAGTACATGAAATCTTAGAATATTGACAAGATAAAGATGAGCTTAGAGGGGGTCCATGTTATTTATTTTGATTGTCTTGGTTATTGGAGTATTATTTTAAGTAGTTGGGTTGGGAATGTACAACGTGAGGCCTTAGCCTATAAGACACTAGATCCAAGCAAAGGGTGAATTTTCAAGCTCCCACCGCAGCAGTGGCGAGTACAGCCTCTAATTCGCTCTTGGAACGCCGCATCGTTCCATCATCACCGTCCATTTCCATTTCGTTGCCCCATATCTCCGGAATCACTTGTGGAACGCTATTCACACACTCCACAACGTAGTCTGCTCCTTCGCTTTTCACCGTTTTCCCCACCTATTCCAATTTCCAAGTCAACCAGAACAAACACGCTTAAATATTACTGTATACTCGTGGATTCAAAAACGTAATAACTAGACATAGACGAGGTCAGTTTCGGAAATTACCAGAACAGTGTAGAGACCCACTTCTTTTGCAGCGGCAACGTTGCGAATGCTGTCATCTAGAAACAGCTGCAATAAATAACATAAAATATAACTTACTTTACTATGCCTCTCAATTATTTCCTATAAATAATAAAAAATGATCATCTCTGACTTTTCCGCAATTGAACAACTAATTCAGTTTTCGCTGTCGAAAAACGACGCCGCGTAAACTTGTCTTGGTTGGCTGTCTTACCGTTCGACGAGGATCCACGTTGGCAGCGTGGAGTGCGATCTTGAAGGCATCCAGCGACGGTTTCAGGAGCACGGGGAATTCCTCGGGTCGGGTCGCCTTCGGAAGGTTCGGGTTTATCGTCTCGAAGCATATGATTTGCTCGAAACAGTCCTTGATACCAAGTCTATCCAGCACGGTCAGCGCGTGAATCCTATCCGAATTAGTAAAAATCTATAAAATTAAAAATTAAAAAAAAACATTATTAGGACGATGAAATGAAAGAGAGGTAAAAAAGAAAAATTCCATTGTAAAGTAACATACAATTTTTCTTTGGTTGATAGTGCGGAGGAGGTTCCGTAACTGAGCATCAGGCTTGATGACGTCGTAAGGAAGGCTTCCGTGCACGAAACTGCATGGAGATTCGAGAACCAAACATTTATATTTAGGTCTTGTTTGTTTGTAAAATCAGTTTTTAGAATTTTGTGATCCTGACCTATGGTATTCCTCTGCGGTGATATCATGGCCAAGTGCCTGCAAAGGAGTTAAGCGCGCGGTTATTAATTAGTTTTTATTATTATTGAATATTGACATTATGGATGAGAATTTGAGTAGTGTTATGTAACTGACTCGCAAACCGGCGAGGGTGCTTCCGTAGGTTTTAAAGAGTTGAACTCGGAGAGTAGAGGCTTTGGATTCTGAGAATCCGCATTTGTGGATCAAAAAGAGTTCAATGTTTTTCTTGATGCACTTGTCGATTCCGGTGGTGGAGGGGTACAAAGTGTCGTCCAAGTCTGTTTTTGGAGAAAACAAGAAACAAGATATATACGAGTTTTGAGGGAATTGTAATTTGCAAAGGAGAAGAAGAAGAAGAACTCACCGAAGATGATGGAGTCAAAAGGGGAAGCCATAGGGAAGATGAAGATTGAAGAGAGCGAAGCGAGCTTTTGAGCGGGGATTGGAAGATAATTTATAGAGGGGAGATGAGGTGGACCACGTGGATTGGATAGGAACGGCTGACGGATGATTGCCGCGTCAGCGTTTCGATTTTGGAAGCCCAGTAGACGAGGGCTCCACACGATAACCGCTTATGCTATACCCCCACGCGCTGCTTCCTTCACACCTCAACATATCTATTTATTATACTCTTTATTTTTCTCAAATCATTCTATTTTCTCAACTTCCTCATCACTCCTTCAAAATACTATCTATTTATGCTCTTTACATTTTTCTAATTTATTCTAAATTCCACACTTACTTTCATTCCACTTCAACATCACTCAAATAATTCACTCTAAAACTATCACAAAAACTTGCAATCTTAATGAATTCTCTCGTCTCACTAAATAATTCAATTAAATTTTAACACATTTAAATAAAGTACATTAGTAGATCTGATGCATTTCTAATATGTGATACGGTTATATTCAAATTTAATTTTTTTTTAATCCATCTAATGGAAAAAAAAAATATATATATATATATATATATAGACTCTTTCATTATTGCGGTTTACAATTTCAATTCATGAAATATTCCTAATAAAGAAAGGATTTTCATTTTTAAACATCGTTATTACAAAGTTTTTACACTATCAATTACAAAATAATGATAGTTATGACTTAAAAAGTAATTATTATAAAAATTAATAAATTTGTCATATATGTCAATTTAAATCAAATGATAGTGTAAAAAAAATTTCTTTACCGTATCATTATATATTAGCTATTTTAAGCATTGAATATGTGCAATATTCTTGTTGCACCGTTTCGGTTATAGGCCGATCTGATCTATACAGGGGGACTCAGTATTAGCTAATCTGGCCTCCCAACATCGTGTCTAGCTTAGTCCCTACGTCTTATAGGCTCAGGGTTGGAAGGTAAGTGTACCGTCTCGGATGTAGGCCGATTCGATCTATATAGGGGGAGACTCGGTATTAGCCGATCCGACCTCCCAACATCATGGCTAGCTTAGCCCCTACGACTTATAGGCTCAGGGCTGGAAGGAAAGTGTACTGTCTCGGCTGTAGGCCGATCCGATCTATATAGGGGGGACTCAGTATTAGCCGATCTGACCTCCATACAGGGAGATACTCGGTTAAAATCCAATCTAGCGATCTATAGGGGGCCATTCGGCCATAATCCGATATTGCCTCTCTGTAGTGAGCTCTCGGTCAGAATCTGACCCTATTCTTTGGAACGCTATCTCGGACAAATCTCGATCCTAACCTCCCCATATAGATGCTGGACCTATGTCAAGGACAAAATCTTACCTTTAATTATCGAATATTTCCCAAATATCGACGGTTATGAGAATCCCTGCGTTCACGGAGCCCATGAGGCCCATGAACAAGAAAGTATAAGACCTAAAATCCTAGAGTTAAAGAGATAAATTACACTTTTGAATGCTCGGGCTCGGAGGCTTGATCTAGGAGGAAACCCTAGACCACCCTTTGACCAGAACACTTGTATTAAAAGTCTTTATGACTAATGAAAGTTAAGCGGTGTGTTGTCATTTTAATTATTCATGTTATTAATTCTTTGACTAATGTGATTCTTAATTTGTATTTTCAATAACTAATTATATTTTTAACATTTTAATAAGAGTCGCTCCACATCTTTATATGTGTAACTAAATTTTTCACATGAATTTGTGTTGGAGATAGAATAAATGATTCATAATCCTATTAGAAAATCTATATATATATATATATATATAAATATAATAGTGATTAGTTTTCTCCTTGTATTAGATTATACATTGCTGGATCTAAACTTTTCTTTAAAAAAAAATATCACACTTTCCATGTGTTTGTGTGTATGTTACGGTGGTATCTTTAGAATGTAAATTTTTATTTATACATGTGTGTACTAATACGTGTGCATATATCTTTAGAATTTAGATTTTCATTATGCACTTAAATTAAATGAGATCATATTTTGTTAAGTAACAATAACAACTGGAACCATACTATTTCGTGACTATTTTTTTTGTTAAATCATGCAATAAGAAAATTCCAAGCATCATATAATTAAGTTTTATTTTTAATTTTTGTTTTCCAATGTCCTCTTTTCATTTATTTCACTTATTTCTATTTGTTTTTCCTCTGTTTATTTTGATGATCTCACGTTCTTAAAGAAAGTAAGAAAAACAAATATTATCCTAAAATAATCGCTAAAGAATAATTTAGCCACTAATTAGTTGATGCTATGCTATGCATTAATTTTTTTTTTGTTGGTAATTTATCTATTTGAAAATAGAAAAAATTCTCCCAAACTTTCTCGACCAGGTAGAAGAAGATTAAACGGAACTAAATTAAAAATAATGTATAATTTTTTATAATTAAAAATTAAATTAATTAACTATAAAAATAAGCATTTTATTGTATTATTTTCTCTAAAATAAAATTATTTACTTTTTCATGTTATAATTCTTTTTATTTCTTAAAAATGTTAAACAAAATATAAATGAACGCAGTATATTTTTTTTTCCTTAATTTAATAGCATTTTTTGGATAAATAATATTATATACAAAACTCATAAAAATAATATTTTCTTCCTTCATTTTTACCCACAAACGAAACAGACAAGTTATAGGACAATAATCGACTCCAAGACGACATGCATCTGTACAGAAATGGTGACAAGTGAGGAACTTGGCATTATGTTACCAATCGTGTCACAGCTTTGTGTCACAACTCAGATATGCAAACTTATTTGTTTATTTCCAACTTTTGTAAAAAGTTATTCAATAAAATAATTAACACTTGGGCAATAACGTCTTATTTTCTTTAAATCGGTATTTTTATATAGTTATAAAATATGGTTTTGCTTTTGCCTTGTTTTCTTTCTTATAACGTCTTATTTTCTTCTTTTAAAAGAAATCGGTATTTTATATAATTATAAAATATGGTTTTGCTTTTGACTTGTTTTCTTTCTTATAGTTTGGAGAAAGAAAAAGAGAGAAATAGATATCAACAACAAAAAATGTAAATAATGATAATAAAATAAAAATATATTGATTTTATTTATTTTATTAATGTAACACAATACATTTTCGCTAATTATTACTAATTTTGTCAATAATTGTATTGTAGTGATTTGTTGTTTTGTTGTTGAGAAATTTTGAGAATTAAGAAATTCTTGTGAGTTTTGGATATTTAGGGGGTAAAGGTCCAATTTGATCGGGAGGGAATGCATATGAGATTTTTTTTAAGACTTCAATTTCATAAGTTAATTTCTTAAGAAAACTTAGAAGAATTAGAGAAAGAAACTTTGATATTCTAAATTTCCTTCTTCCTTCTTTTTAGCCCCGAGAGCGTAGAAGATTGTAGCTAAGCTTTTGGGTGGAGATTCAAGGCATTTGGGTTGAGAATCAAGTGGTAGAGTTTTGTTGAGATTTTCGTTAAAACTATTTTTTTTTGTTAACACTTTAAATCACCTTTGTTCTATCAACGGTCTCAAACACGACAAATATACCGGCCGTTCAAGTAGTAAAATTATCGTATCCACAAGGATTAGTAGGTAAAATAAGCATTTATTGACTATTCGTGACTAAAGAATAATTCCAAATTCATTGTTTGTCATGCAAGTTGAATCGAAAGTTATGACTATTGGAATGTAAGCTATAAAAATATTTGATTGTGAGTGGAAAATGGTAGAAATGGTATTATGATTTTTGTGAGATTGTGGGGTCAGATTTCACCAAACATTATACTAATGAATCCTTAATCTCTTGTTACAAACATTGTTTAGTCAACCCATAAGTTTACTCAAACCTAATCCCTTAGAGCAAGAGCCCAGGTGCGGATATTGAATATCAATTCCTTGAGTACCCCATATCTACACCTGCATTACGGGCTAGGGTTTAAGACTACTAATGGGCTAAACTCCATTCCTAGATACATTTTCCACTAGGCATTTGTTTCAGAGCTAGTTTCAATGGTTATTTTCCAACACCCAATGAAACCTATATCATGCAAAGGAGATTCAATCCAAAGCAAGCATTAAGAATAGAAACATACACAACAATGAATGAACAACATATATATATATATATCATTAAAAACGTAAGGATTACAATAGAGTATGTTGGTTACATCTAACCCCACAAAAAATGGGTAGAACCACTCAAAACAATGAGGGTAAACAAAAATAGAGATGAAGGGAGAATGAAGAACCGAAGGAAAGACCCACACACGAACGACTCCAAGCTCCGGGAATCCCTTCCACAGCTCCCAAAACGCGCCCAATGTATGAATGAGGAGCAAAGCCTCAAAAATGTGTTCAAATACGAGCTTGGGGAGTCAGATTAGGGTTACATGCCCGGCGCATAAGTCTTTGCGCCCGACGCAGGGCCTTCCAGTGAGGTTAAGTATTCTCTGCCTCAAAACACGCCCGGCTCAATTCCTTTTACGCCTGACGCAATACCTTCCAGAGAGTTTGAGGTACTCTCTGTCTCGATCACGCCCGGCGAGGGTAGTCTCGCGCCCGACGCAGGTGTGACTTGTAGAGGTGGAACACTCTGTTCTTCTCAAGTCCGGCGCGGGTCATCTTGCGCCCAGCACAACCACTCTGCTCTGCTCCTTAGCTCCTTAGATTTCCAATCCTAAGGGTCTTCAATCCTCAATTCTCTAGCTCAATACCTGCACAAAAAGTGAGGTGTATTAGGGTATTGTTAGCTAAATTATGGGTTAGTTATATCTGCACACAAAATGGATCAAAAAGAGAACAATTATATTGCAATGATTCAAAGAATGAGTAGAATTGTTCATTAAGTCTTGTCCAAAAAGAGGTATAACTGAGACTTAACAAGTTTTCGTATGAAGCTTTCAGTGATAACTCAGAGTATTCCTCTTCTTCTTCTTCCTTGTTTCACTTTGATTTAGATGTAAAAGAATATATAGAACTCGAATTTTGTTAATTATTGAAGTTGTATGTGCTTTAACTTATCTAAAATCATGACTATGTTGATGATTTTGGAGTGAAATTCATGTTTTGGTGAGTTTTGGATGTTTTGAAGTATGTTGAGATG